GGTTTGTTTGATTTGAGATCAAAATAAAGTCTAAACACTGCTACTGGATGACATGTTTCTTAAATCTCTTAGTCTATAGGTTCCCTCTCTGCTTTGCTCTTGGAAATTGTTAAACTAGGTTTGCCTGTGGACTTTCCCATAGACTAGATTTTGCTCATTGCATCCTGTGATGTCATTTAACTTTTTCTCTGTCCTTGGTATTTCCTATAATTAAAAGTTCTAGATGAGTTGTTCTCATCCAGGGGCAATTGATTTGCTCCTCTAGAGGCAATGTCTGGAGACAGTTTTGGTTTTTACAACTGAGGGATGGAGAGGGGTGCTACAGACATGCATTTCTCTAGAGAGTGGAGGCAAGGATGCTGCTCACCTTTCTACGGTGCACAGGATGGACCCTACGATAAAGAATTATCTGGCCCAAAATGTCAATAAAGTTGAGATTGAGAAAATATGGCCTAGGTCCATTAATTCATTTATGATTGCATAATGGTGATATTCTGTCATTTCTACTTCATGTAGTACTTAGAATACTTGTGTAGAGAGAAACTTGTTTTCGTCTAATACTTGGTTATTCAGTGATGGACTTTAGAAGGGCAGGATAAATGAGTCTCTCTTTAATTACAGGTTTTTAAAAAATTGTGTTGGTTCACAGGCATCCCTCTGGTGATGTACATTCAGTCTTCTTCCCTCCCTCCTTTTTTACTTTCCTCCTTACTTTCTAGATTGTTAGAGGTCATGGATTTAAACATTTTGGTTTCAGCTCCTTGTAGTTATTATTGATGCTCAGGTGAGTTGGTTGAGTTTTTTTGACCCCAGTATTCTCTGGTAATTCTCTTGATGTTTAATATGGCGAGATTTTTCCAGGCCCAGACTTGGACTCAGCTGTTTATTCAAGAAGCTCTGGTCCATTTCAGTGGAAGGTGGCATTTCAGGATCACAGTCTGTGCCCTGGGACAAGATTGATATTTAATTTTATCAGAATTTCTTTTGATCAAGATTGGAGTCATTTGTCATTCAAAAGCACATCTTCAAATGCTAAAATTTTAATGATAAAATTATGTCAGCAGCATATAGGATGATGTGGATTATTTTATTTCTTGTGGTAATGATTGCATTTTATGATTGGAATATGTTCTTGAAGATCTTGGATAATTCAAAACATGCAAAATCCAACACTGATCCTGAGAACAATGGGCAGGTACTTCTGTGAACCAACTGAAGTGTTGTATCAGTGTAGCAATACAATAAATATGGCTTAGGATTGTCATTGCTCACTAGCCTTGCCATTATGACTTTTGATGGATATTTTTAAGTGTTGAGAATTCACATTTCAAGTATTACACTTAAAATGAGACTTTAAAATTTCATCATACCACTATTTCAAGTTTATATAATTCAAATGTGCAAAA